AAAACTATCGATATAACTGCCTGAAGCTTTACGTTGTACATTTGCTGTTATGTTAAACTTATATTAAAGTTTTTCTTCATTACCCATTCCAGTTTCAGTTGTACAAGTCATAAAACTATTATTAAACAGGTAAGAAGATAAAATAAACGCTTAAGCCTTAAGTTAACACAAATATTCAAATTGTATTACAATATATATACATACATACAAATGATAGGTCTATTCAAAATAATCAAACTATTATTTCTAACAAAACTAAAATTGAAAAAAATACATTTAAATCACGAAATAGATAAAAATACTTAAAATTAAATATAATTCCATTGAATTTTAATTTATTTTTATCGTTTATGTTCCCTAGTAATGAACAAGAAACAGACTACAGCATAGAAATATCATTGAGCAACAAAATAACGCAAAAGCAAGTGAACGTTCTCATTAAAATAATTCTGACAAACCAAGTTGTTGCAGCTTAACAAAATCACCGTGTTATGCTAATTCTACTTCTTCTCTTCGATGATCCAAACAAAAGTCAAACTGCCTCTGATCAAGTTTCCACGTGGCACAAGGAATCGATACTGCTACTTTTATCTGAATACAAAGACAAAAAATGCTATTTCTTTCATTAACTTAATTAAAGAAACAGTGGACGGTTAAATTACTAAAACTATTGTAGTTCGTTTAGCCGTATCGGCCACGTGCTATACTTGGTATGTGGCGCCATCTCATGACTTATGATACTAACGGGGGATTCAATAATCCCGAGATGTAGTGTTGAACTGCTAAAATAATAAGATAATAAAAGTGATATCAATGGGCCTTTTTCTCCAGAGAACTTTACTGTCTATTAAACAGAAAAACTTCTGACTTTTATGAAATGTAATTTTATTTTTAGTAGTATAGGTGTGGGTCTAAGTTAACAAAAGTTAAATACTGATTTAATTTCACTGTTAAAGCGACTATCAAATAAACAACTTTGTAACTGCTTTTTCTAGGTTAAACTTTATGAAAGAAAGCCACTTCTTGGAGGGGGTGATGGGTGTTGGTAAGTAGTAAAAAAAATGTGATGGAACCTAACTGCGAGCAACACGTCCTTAACAAATTCGATGACGAGGAACCCACTTTGAGACTAATAATGGTTGGAGACGGCTTGAATGGGTAATGAAGAAAAACTTTAATATAAGTTTAACATAACAGCAAATGTACAACGTAAGCTTCAGGCAGTTATATCGATAGTTTTCATGGTTTGTAGCCTAAACGATAAGGTAAGCCTAATATTTCGATGACGAGGAACTCACTTTGAGACTAATAATGGTTGAAGACGGCTTAGTACGATTCGTAAACGTACGCCTAAATAAATATTCAATTATAACTTAAGCAATAGATTTAGTAAAACTAAATATTAGTAATAGTATAGGAAAATATTAAACTCAAAGAAACCACAGTTTCATTGTTTATATATGTGTATTATATACATATATGATATAGATTTTTAAACAATTTCAAAAACTTTAAATAATTTAACAATTCTAATTAAATATGACAGAGCAGGAAATATATTTTTTACTAAAAGTTTTAGTTTTACTGCCTTAGCTTCTTATATCACAAACTGTGAACGTAGAAATTACAAAGCGAATTATAATTGAATATTATTATTTCAATTATATTCTGGAGTAGTATATTAATCATTAGAATATCCAAATGACAAAAAAAATTTTTGTCGAATTGTTAACTGTTAATGTATTAACTTGTACTCATAGTATATGAATGCTTGGACCTATCATTCACTTGGCCTAAAAATATATTTTTTAAATAAACAAGTAAGTTTTAATTTTAAAACAAACTTAATATGGCCGTAACCAGAGGTATAAATTTACCGGGGTAAGAAATGACAATCAGCTGGGGATTTGGGGGGCGCTGTAAGCCTCCTAAGAAAAAATGTTAAATTTTAGCCCTCTCACAACCATTCTAATTCTATGCAATTTTCGGAGGGATTTTGGTTTGTTCAATTTACGCTCTACCCACAGAGGTTTGTTCAAAGTATACCTACAGGCCAGGTTTACATTTACTGTCAGTAGAATGAATGAATACCAGTGTTTGGAGAGAAAATAAATCGCTCAGAAAAAAACTACCATGTTGCCCCATGTTGGTTACGGCCATGCTTACCAAACTATTTGTCTAACCCGAGTAATCTGTTTTTAAAGAACTCTGTTGAAAATAACAAATATTTTCGAAGAGCATGACGGTTAATTAAAGCACGCAATACTTAATTAAGTTTATTCGAACGAGCAGGTGGTACACCAGTGCCACATGTGTGTAATATCTAGGGCATTCTTATGGTGTATCATTATTACGACCTAAGGTTTTGTGCTTGTTAAACGATTAACCGAATGAAAGAAATGTTCTAAAAAGTAAAAATGGGTGAGTTGCCTATTTTGTATCGCTCTTACTAGGAATTAATAACTTGGTAAAAAATTTGTAGTGTTTGCAGAAACTAACCGTAGCAGTAGTAGTAGTGTTTAGCCCACATGCTCAGTGAATGTGATATGAAATTATGAAGGACTTACTCAACAGACAGTGTAATTTTTGTTTGTTAGTCTAGACTTAATTATAGTTAATATAAGTTTCTCGGTTCTTCTATTGAGTCTTAGAAAAACTTAAACGTAAAAGAATTAAACATAAAAATACAGCAAGTATGTTTATTTCGTTGCTATGGGTATAGTATACTGTGATGAGTTTGATCCAACTTCATTTATTCATCGCTTTTAATTTAAAGTGTATTCTGATCCTTTACCAGAATTTAGGAAAAAAATTATTTGATCTCATATATGCTTTTCACAACGTCACATTCTCAAGATGTAGGTGGTGTCGGTGTAATTTACTGTTTTTAAATCGTGTGTCTTAGTTAGGCCTTTTTACGTTTACTTTTTATACAAAGTTGAAACCGTTTGTTACACAAGACGTGAACTTTGCAACAGGTATAAGTTTGCAGGAGTTTAAACAAAACAGCATTGAATAAATACAAATTAATAAACAAATAATAAGATTCATAGAAATATTTGTATTTATAACTATGAACTAAAAAGGTGAATTTTGAAAAAATGCATTTGTTTAAGTTTGATTATACAACATGAATTGTATATAATACAGTTATATTAGAATGAAAATATCATAAGCTCCGAATTTATTTCATGTTTTTTATTACAGATGGATTCCGAGGTGTCATTTAAACTATTAAGCAAAACAGCTAAGAGCATAGTTTTAAATATCCAGTGAATTATGTAAAGTCTTGATTATAACAAACAAATTACTGATCCATTGATTTTTTTTTTGAAGGGTTAAATACCATCTACAGAATGTTTTTTTATGGTTTGAACTTCATAGCAGAACTGTAAATGACAGTTGATGTTACACAACTAAGTAATGGTTTTTGACAAAATTTCCTACACCAGCAGCAATGAATGCTTCAGTTCATCCTCTTAAAGTTAAGGACAAGTCCCATCATTCAGAAGGACTTTTAGCAGATATAATACATAAGGCAAGTTTATAATAGATTTTGTTTTATAGTGATATTAGTTATTATATGTTGCTCTGGGTGATTGATTAGCTTTGTAGGGTTAATAATCAATACAAAAATTTTTTTCAGATTCATTATACACTTGAAATGTATAATTGTGTTTAGATATAAATACTGGAAATGTTTTTGGTTTATGTAGAATATCAGTAGTAAACCTAATTTCCAGGTAATTTTACTGCCATACTTTTCTACCTGTTGCCTGTTTAAAGAAATTGAATATTGAATTATCTCTTGCATTAAAACTGTGTATAGCAGCATAAAAAATAGATCTCTTCCCTGAAGAAGTTCAATTAGATGGACTTCTAATGTTTACACTTGTAGGATAAAGCAGAGGAATGGTGGACGTAGAAAATGTGTGCAACAGAGGAACGGTGGACGTAGAAAATGTGTGCAACAGAGGAACGGTGGATGTAGAAAACGTGTGCAACAGAGGAACGGTGGAAGTAGAAAATGTGTGCAACAGAGGAACGGTGGAAGTAGAAAACGTGTGCAACAGAGGAACGGTGGACGTAGAAAATGTGTACAGCAGAGGAACGGTGGACGTAGAAAATGTGTGCAACAGAGGAACGGTGGACGTAGAAAATGTGTACAACAGAGGAACGGTGGACGTAGAAAATGTGTACAACAGAGGAATGGTTATTCTTACTCGGTGGAATGAATATGGAACTTATGAATGCTACAGTACTTGTACTACAGTCAGGTTGGAGGTTGTCTGGCTTGCAGAGCATTTGCTTTAGAACACTAATCTGAGTCAAGGATCCTGAGTTCAATCCTAGCCAGTGCAGATTACTTACTATCCTGATACCCAGTCCTGCTGGCCAGTTAGTGGTCATTGCACTTGTGAATGTCATCTGGATTGAAGAGATGACGAATCAAATCGTTTTGGTAAATGTCTATCAAATGGTTGGCCTTGATTGGCTTTATATTTTGTGTTGATGGTCTAGAGATGCCATCTAGTGTGTACTTTGGAAGATTGGGGATATTCCAGGTTGTTTTATAGACTCGGTTGTTTGAGTGAAGGGATTGTGGTGGTCAGGATTAGGGTTATCTACTTGGAACTTGAGTCGATAGAACATCTTTGGAACACCAGTGTGGATCGTGTGTTTCAAGTCCCAGTCACACGAGACTTTCTAAACTAGTATTCTGCAGTAAAGCTAATATAATTTTAGGGTGTATTTATAGACACTCTTAATTATGAGGTGAAGTTATTATTTTTGTTTACAGATGAGTAATTAGGTTTCCTTTGAAATACTGTGTAGTTTTTTTTTGGATAGCCTAGATAGACCAATAGTTTGTGTTAATTTTGATCTAAGAAAGGGTACTGACTTATTATAAGGAAGATTATTTTTCAGTTTGTCAAGGAAAGAAAAGTAAGACATAATCTAAGAAAGGGTATTGACTTATTATAAGGAAGATTATTTTTCAGTTTGTCAGGGAAAGAAAAGTAAGACATAATCTAAGAAAGGGTATTGACTTATTATAAGGAAGATTATTTTTCAGTTTGTCAGGGAAAGAAAAGTAAGACATAATCTAAGAAAGGGTATTGACTTATTATAAGGAAGATTATTTTTCAGTTTGTCAAGGAAAGAAAAGTACGACATAATCTAAGAAAGGGTATTGACTTATTATAAGGAAGATTATTTTTCAGTTTGTCAAGGAAAGAAAAGTAAGACATAGTCTTGTCGAAGAATAAAGACATCTAATTTCTTTGTGCTAACTTCTGAAGACACGAGAACAGAAGTTTAAAATTTGGAAAACATAAATGAGGATCTAATAAAGACTGTAGTGGGAGTCAATGTTTTTGTGAAAATAAAAGGTGGTTTTTGTAAGGACAACTTTGATGGACCAAATGTCATCTTTATTTTATGTCACAGTTCCTCAGTAGTAAGTTTGATAACATTTGTATACCTTGAGATATATATGTATATCTTGAATGAAATGACTTGAAATGTTATCGGCTGAAATTCTTACAGATTTGATTAACTTTGTTCATATGGTACCTTTTGTTGATGCTGTATTTATTTCTATCACTTGCTTTGTACTGGTTTTATAGTGTATTAATGTATTCTTCTGTAAAGTATTTTCTGATTATCAATCTAGTCTCCTGTTGTGAAGTCCTTTCTGGCCGGTTCCCTGAGTGGAATGTTCTCAACTCTGCTGTTTCAACCATTAGATTTGGTGAAAACAAGACTACAGAACTCAGCACATTCAAGGTTTGTAGTAATCGTGAATAATGTTGGAGGTAAAATAAAATCGGTAAATCTACAGGCTCGTAGTTCATTAGCCAAAGGTGGAAGCCTTAAGTATTGTAACTTGTTCCAAAGTAGAAAATTTTAAATTCTAATTAATTAATAAAACAACTATTATTATAGTCTTCTAATTGTTGAAAGTCCGTAAGGGGGACTAGATTGAGAATGTAGAAAGTCCGTAAGGGGGACTAGATTGAGAATGTTGAAAGTCCGTAAGGGGGACTAGATTGAGAATGTTGAAAGTCCGTAAGGGGGACTAGATTGAGAATGTAGAAAGTCCGTAAGGGGGACTAGATTGAGAATGTAGAAAGTCCGTAAGGGGGACTAGATTGAGAATGTAGAAAGTCCGTAAGGGGGACTAGATTGAGAATGTAGTGTTTAGTAATGTATTTTATGTTAGGCCTAATACTAATATCTTATCCCAAATATAATTGTAATAAAACAAGTTGACTTGAAAGTTTATTTCTCTTTGAAAGAATTTTTACCGTTTTATCCACTGTTATTGTTCAGATGACAGAAAAGTAAGATACTAATGAAAAAGTAGCTTGTAAATATTGTTCACCGGGCAAGAAGTGAGTTATTGAGGAATTAAAATAATTTTAATCCAGACTTTGCATGTATTACTTAGCTTTCTTTAGGAGCTATATGTAACTCCTTTTTGGAGATGTTTTGAGTCTTTTTTTTTTTTCTTTCAGTTTTTTAATTAGATGATGAATTGTTAACTTTAAGCAATGTACTGCGTGGTCAACAGTTGATTAAGCAATGTACTGCGTGGTCAACAGTTGATTAAGCAATGTACTGCGTGTTCAACAGTTGATTAAGCAATGTACTGCGTGTTCAACAGTTGATTAAGCAATGTACTGCGTGGTCAACAGTTGATTCAGCAATGTACTGCGTGTTCAACAGTTGATTGAGCAATGTACTGCGTGTTCAACAGTTGATTGAGCAATGTATTGTGTGGTCAACAGTTGATTGAGCAATGTATTGTGTGGTCAACAGTTGATTGAGCAATGTGTTATGTGGTCAACAGTTGATTAAGCAATGTACTGTGTGGTCAACAGTTGATTAAGCAATGTACTGTGTGGTCAACAGTTGATTCAGCAATGTACTGTGTGGTCAACAGTTGATTCAGCAATGTACTGTGTGGTCAACAGTTGATTCGTTATTTTATGTATGAACTTTGTTACACCTGAGTTTTTAAAGAAATGTATAATACAAATCTTGTTTCAGTGTGACAAAGGTTGGCATGTTGTCTGTAATCACTCAAGTTGTGAGGAGGGAGAAACTAGTGGGCCTGTGGAGAGGGACTGTACCTGTAAGCAGATCCATTCAATTTATCCAGTTTTCACGTGTGTGTGTGTGTGCGCTATATTCTGAATATATATATATATATATATATATAATACAATGAGAGAGTTTAGCATTTGGAAAAGACTAGCTGGCTTCCAGTTCAGATAGTTTTTTCTTGCAAGGGTGATTGGCTTATAGAATGAGTTGCCATCAGTAAAAGTGAAGACCACACTTTACTGGAGAATCAACAATTAACACAGAATGTGCGTTTACATTTTACTCTTTTTTTCAAGAGTGGGTGTTTAAAGACAACCTTAAAGGACCAACTGATTCCTTGTTGTATGTAGGTAATGTTAAAGATTTATTTATTTCAATGGTAGACATGCTTTTCAGGCCCTGATCTATGAAGAATGCACAGGGGCTGTAAACAACCTCTGCACAGGGGCTGTTAGTGGGCTGATTCTCTATCTCTTTTATTCATTTAGATATAGATATATTCGTCTGGACATAGTTCTGTTTATTTAACAACATATACTTATAACATAGGTTCTATTAATGTGTCAAGAAACTTAAGTTTCAACACTGCCTAGTTTTGTTGCCTGTGATTGAGGCCGTATTGTGTGTTATAAATGTGATTCTAGTTTTGAAATTAAGAGAATTCTGAAATTATTAGTGTAGAACATTTATCAAACTGCCTCTTTATTGTATCCATTGATTATTTGTGAAAAGTGTTGATACTTTTAACTATCAGAGACTAGAAACATTATTAGGGGGAAAAAAATCGCTTGTTAGTGTTTAGGAATTGTATCACTCGTAGGTCTCTACCTTGGACTAGTTGTTCCTAACAACAGTTGTATTTTCAGTATACAATATGTGCAGTTAGTTTGACTTTTACTGTTTCGTAAGGTTCTTATTTATTCCGATTTTTTCAGTCGATCGTACGCTGTGTTCCTGGAGTTGGTTTATACTTTTCTTCACTGAACTGGTTGCAGAGGACTTTTATGTGAGCACCCTTTGTTTTTGTTTGGCTATTTTTATTAGCAATCTATGATTATCATTATAATAAACGAGTTTTGTTTCAGGGACTTTATTTTCCATATATTTAAATTATAAAAAAAAACATTTTAAATAAAATTTGGCAATTAGTTTTCTAATTGAGTAAACATTGGGCTCATTAGTCGATTACGCTCATTAGTCGATTACGTTTAACTATTAGATTATTCTCACGTGATACTTGGATAGTTGAAATAATAAAAAATAGTGCTAGTTTAAATTGTTTTTGTGAGTTGTGACACTAATTGACTATGGTGAACAAACCTTGAATTAATAAAACAATGAGAAACCGTATTGGAAATACTAATTTTGATTAATTGATTATTTTACCTGAACTAATTAATGCTTGTAGATAATAAGTTAATTGGCTAGCTCTTGTTTTAATGGTTGAATATGATCCACCAAAAAAAAAAAAAGTAAACTTTTGTGAGAAAGTACTGTCAATTTATTTTTAAATAAGAATGTTTAAATGGTGCAAAACTTCAACCCTATGACTATGATCTACTTACATTGCAAGTAGATATGCAACCATTAATTAACCCTACGCAAGTAGATATGCAACCATTAATTAACCCTACGCAAGTAGATATGCAACTATTAATTAACCCTACGTAAGTAGATATGCAACTATTAATTAACCCTACGCAAGTAGGTATGCAACTATTAATTAACCCTACGCAAGTAGATATGCAACTATTAATTAACCCTACGCAAGTAGATATGCAACTATTAATTAACCCTGCGTAGGTAGATATGCAACTATTAATTAACCCTGCGTAGGTAGGTACGCGACCATTAATTAACCCTGCGTAGGTAGGTACGCGACCATTAATTAACCCTGCGTAGGTAGGTATGCAACCATTAATTAACCCTACGTAGGTAGGTATGCAACCATTAATTAACCCTACGTAGGTAGGTATGCGACCATTAATTAACCCTGCGTAGGTAGGTACGCGACCATTAATTAACCCTGCGTAGGTAGGTACGCGACCATTAATTAACCCTGCGTAGGTAGGTACGCGACCATTAATTAACCCTGCGTAGGTAGGTACGCGACCATTAATTAACCCTGCGTAGGTAGGTACGCGACCATTAATTAACCCTGCGTAGGTAGGTATGCGTCCATTAATTAACCCTATGTAAGTAGGTATGCAACTCTCGTGAAAGTTCTTTACAAAAATGAAACTAGAAGATCAAATTCTTTTAAATCTGAGATGAAAGGTCCTACAAGTATGTAGTTTTTGAAAAATAAGATATTTAATTTTGATTTTAGTTCGAAAGCAATATTTTCTCGTGCCTTTTTTTTCTTTTTAGCATGTTCCCTATTCAACATGCAAAGTAATTTTCATTATAAGATTAAAAATACTTATATGCATCAGAGAATTTTCAAATTTCACATGCGAAATCCTTATAATGTCCAGATAGTTATCAAACATTTAATAAGAAAAAACTTTATATTTTATCTGTTATTTTCAGTAATTAATCTCTGTACGGGTACGGTAGATTTGACCGATCTCGTAACCACCATACAAAAATTAGGAAATAAATAGATTATACCACTTTCATTCTAGAATGACAACAA